AACAATGACAAACCCCTGGGGCCGGGCCAGTTTTGACCCCAGGGCTTTTATTTGAACAACATTTGTAGACACTTACTAGAAGATGTTTCATGCTTAATATCTAAACTCTAGCTATTTGGGTTCTTTTCAAAGAAGATTTAAAGTTTTTGCTAAACACATATAAAGAAAATCAATGACCCCCGGGGCGGGCCAATTTTGACCCCAGGTCTCTTATTTGAACAAACTTTGTAGACACTCACTAAAAGATGTTTCATGCTTAATATCTTAACTCTAGCTATTTGGGTTTTTTCAAAGAAGATTTTTTAAGTTTTTGCTATACACATATAAGGAAAATCAATGACCCCCCGGGGCAGTGCCAATTTTGACCCCAGGGCTTTTATTTGAACAAACTTGGTAGACACCTATTAGAACATGTTTGATGCTCAATATCTTAGCCATATCTCTTTGAGTTCTTTAAAAGAAGATTTTTAAGTTTTTACTATATGCATATAGGGAAAATCAATGACCCCCCGGGGCTGGGCCAATTTTGACCCCAGGGCTTTTATTTGAACAAACTTGGTAGACACCCATTAGAACATGTTTCATGCTAAATATCTTAGCTCTAGCTCTTTGGGTTCTTTAAAAGAAGATTTTTTAAGTTTTTACTATATGCATATAGGGAAAATCAATGACCCCCCCGGTGCGGGGGCCAATTTTGACCCCAGGGCTTTTATTTGAACAAACTTGGTAGACACTCACTAGAAGATGTTTCATGCCAAATATCTAAGCTCTAGCTCTTTGAGTTCTTTAAAAGAAGATTTTTTAAGTTTTTACTATATGCATATAGGAACAAGAGGGCCATGATGGCCCTGGATCGCTCACCTGTATATAGGGCCCCAGAAGCTGGCCAGTTTAAACCCCAGGGCTTTTATTTGAACAAACTTGGAATTAAAGACACACCCATTAGAAGATGTTTCATGATGTTAAGTTTTTGCTATACACATATAAGGAAAAACAATGACCTTCCCCCCCCCCCCCGGCAGCAGAGTTAATTTTAACCCAAGGGCTTTTATTTGAACAAACTTGGTAGACACCCATAAGAAGATGTTTCATGCTAAACATCTAAGCTCTAGCTCATTGGGTTTTTTAAAAGAAAATTAATTTAAGTTTTTCCTTTACACATATAGTTAAAAACAATGACACCCCTGGGGCGGGGCCAGTTTTGACCCCAGGGCTTTTATTTGAACAAACTTTGTAGACACTTATTAGAAGATGTTTCATGCTTAATATCTAAACTCTAGCTATTTGGGTTCTTTCAAAGATGATTTTTTAAGTTTTTGCTATACACATATAAGGAAATCAATGACCCCGGGGCGGGGCCAATTTTGACCCCAGGGCTTTAATTTGAACAAACTTTGTAGACACTCACTAGAAGATGTTTCATGCTTAATATCTAAACTCTAGCTATTTGAGATTTTTTTCAAAGAAGGTTTTTGAATTTTTTTGCTATACACATATAAGGAAAATCAATGACCCCCGGGGCGGGGCCAATTTTGACCCCAGGGCTTTTATTTGAACAAACTTAGTAGACACCCATTAGAACATGTTCATGCTAAATATCTTAGCTCTAGCTCTTTGAGTTCTTTAAAAAGAAGATTTTTAAGTTTTTACTATATGCATATAGGGAAAATCAATGACCCCCTGGTGCCGGGCCAATTTTGACCCCAGGGCTTTTATTTGAACAAATTTGATAGACATCCATTAGAACATGTTTCATGCTAAATATCTTAGCTCTAGCTCTTTGGGTTCTTTAAAAGATAATTTTTTAAGTTTTTACTATATGCATATAGGGAAAATCAATGACCCCCTGGGGCGGGCCAATTTTGACCCCAGGGCTTTTATTTGAACAAACTTGGTAGACACCCATTAGGGGATGTTTCATGCTAAATATCTTAGCTCTAGAACTTTGGGTTCTTTAAAAGAAGATTTTTCAAGTTTTTACTATATGCATATAGGGAAAATCAATGACCCCCTGGGGCGGGGCCAATTTTGACCCCAGGGCTTTTATTTGAACAAACTTGGTAGACACTCACTAGAAGATGTTTCATGCCAAATATCTAAGCTCTAGCTCTTTGGGTTCTTTAAAAGAAGATATTTAAAGTTTTTTCTTTCGGTTGCCATGGCAACCAGAGTTCTGCATGGAATTAAATTCTTTGAACAATTTTTAAAGGTGACCACCAAAGGAACATTCCTGTGAAGTTTGGATGAAATTGGCTTAGTGGTTTATGAGGAGATGTCATTTGAAGCAAAAGTTTACGGACGGACGGACGGACGGACGGACGGACGACGGACGGACGCCGGACGAAAAGCGATCACAAAAGCTCACCCTGTCACTTTGTGACAGGTGAGCTAAAAATAGCCACATAAAGGAAAATAGCCACATAAAGGAAAATAGCCACATAAAGGAAAATAGCTGCATAAAGGATAATAGCCACATAAAGGAAAATAGCCACATAAAGGAAAATAGCCATAAAGGAAAATAGCCACATAAAGGAAAATAGCCCAGAAAGGAAAATAGCCACATAAAGCCTTATGGAATAAATGACATCATTACCTACTGTTCCTGTAATAGTAATTGATTAATTTTTCATGTAATCAGACCCATGTCTGTCTTGCATTACAAACCATATGAAAAGTTTGAATATATACTTACTCCGCTATGATCTTGCTAGTTTCCTCCAGCAATAATTTACCTTTCTTTACCACAAGATCCCCAGCTGTTATAAAATCATCTAACGACTTGCTGAAATTTGATATAGAATTCTAGTGAATTGAAAATTTTGAACGAAAGAAATGGAAGATTATTATAATTTATATGGTAACATGCTGAAAATTTAATTAACTTCATTTAATTGAAATTCTGAAGGAGGAAATAAGACAGAAAACTAATTAAAGCATTTAATAATCAAATAAAAACAATACTTTGATAACCAAATATCAGTTTTCTGAGATAATTTCAAATTAATATCTTAGGTTCTTAATATATGAATATGCGTATCAACTGTTGAAGTTTTGTTAGGACTTCCAAGGCTTAAAGGGACCTCACTGGGTTTTTTTGACATGACAGGACTGGAAATATTTTTACGAGATTTGTAAACGATTTGATGTAGGTCTGGACCAATAACTTGTGTGCGCAAATTTTCAGATCATTCCCTTACCAAGTTTTTCCGGAATAATCAACTTTATTGTCCACAATAACCCAAATTGGAAAGAATTGCAATGCTTTTCACTCTAATCAGGCTAATAAAAATGATTTTGTCCAAGTATATTTCTTTCTTATCCTCTGCAGATTTTCCATTTTAAGTGCTTCTTTTGATCGATGTAAGAATATCAAATTTTATGTTTTTTAGACTTTTTGACCTCAATGGAGCACCTTTAAACCGCCAAGAAAGTTAATTAAAGGCCATTATGATTACCTGATCACATTATGTAGCTGAGATGAGGTCCTAATCATTTCCGACATCTCTTCTGGTGTCACCATATTGGCACACTGTATAAAATAATGTATCATATTGACTTATAAAATCATATTGACTTATTAAACTAAGAAGTGCACTGCATTTGGTGTTGGCTCATCTATTAAAAATTTTAAGTTCAAAAGAGGCATAACTACAAAAATATTGCTTAAAGCATTGTATGCCCCTATTTCTACAGACTGCACCATGTCATCATAATCAAATATTCCAAGTTTCATGTTGATACCTTTTGAAATGTTTAAAAATAGACTACATTAAAGATATTGCACAATGACAACAATGATGACGATGACAACCACCACCACGCCGCTCCCTCAATCATAATAACTTGACTTTTTCTTTGAAACGGAAGAGTTAAAAATGAATGCAAATCAAAACTTTATCAAACAAGAGGGCCATGATGGCCCTGAGGTCGCTCACCTGTATATAGGCCCCCAAAGCGGGGCCAGTTTAAACCCCAGGGCTTTTATTTGAACAAACTTGGAAGACACCCATAAGAAAATGTTTCATGATGTTAAGTTTTTACTACACACATATAATGAAAAACAATGATCTGCCCCCTCCCCCATCCTCGCAGGGCCAATTTTAACCCAAGGGCTTTTATTTGAACAAACTTGGTAGACACCCATAAGAAGATGTTTCATGCTAAACATCTAAGCTGTAGCTCATTGGGTTTTTTAAAAGAAGATTTTTTAAGTTTTTACCATACACATATAGTTAAAACAATGACACCCCTGGGGCGGGGCCAGTTTTGACCCCAGGGCTTTTATTTGAACAAACTTTGTAGACACTTTCTAGAACATGTTTCATGCTTAATATCTAAACTCTAGCTATTTGGGTTTTTTCAAAGAAGATATTTAAGTTTTTGCTATACACATATAAGGAAAATCAATGACCCACGGGGCAGGGCCAATTTTGACCCCAGGGCTTTTATCTGAACAAACTTTGTAGACACTCACTAGAAGATGTTTCATGCTTAATATCTTTACTCTAGCTATTTAGGTTTTTTCAAAGAGATTTTTTAAGTTTTTGCTTAGATATACACATATATAAGGAAAATCAATGACACCCGGGGCGGGGCCAATTTTGACCCCAGGGCTTTTATTTGAACAAACTTGGTAGACACCCATTAGAACATGTTTCATGCTAAATATCTTAGCTCTAGCTCTTTGAGTTCTTTAAAAGAAGATTTTTAAGTTTTTACCATATGCATATAGGGAAAAATCAATGACCCCCTGGGGCGGGGCTAATTTTGACCCCAGGGCTTTTATTTGAACAAACTTGGTAGACACCCATTAGAACATGTTTCATGCTAAATATCTTAGCTCTAGCTCTTTGAGTTCTTTAAAAGAAGATTTTTAAGTTTTTACTATATGCATATAGGGAAAATCAATGACCCGCCTGGGGCGGGGCCAATTTTGACCCCAGGGCTTTTATTTGAACAAACTTGGTAGACACTCATTAGAAGATGTTTCATGCTAAATATCTTAGCTCTAGCTCTTTTGGTTCTTTAAAAGAAGATTTTTTAAGTTTTTACTATATGCATATAGGGAAAATCAATGACCCCCTGGGGCGGGGCCAATTTTGACCCCAGGGATTTTATTGGAACAAACTTGGTAGACACTCACTAGAAGATGTTTCATGCCAAATATCTAAGCTCTAGCTCTTTGGGTTTTTTAAAAGAAGATATTTAAAGTTTTTTCTTTCGGTTGCCATGGCAACCAGAGTTCTGCATGGAATTAAATTCTTTGAACAATTTTTAAAGGTGACCACCAAAGGAATATTCCTGTGAAGTTTGGATGAAATTGGCTTAGTGGTTTAGGAGATGTCATTTAAAGTAAAAGTTTACGGACGGACGGACGGACGCCGGACGAAAAGCGATCACAAAAGCTCACCATGTCACTTTGTGACAGGTGAGCTAAAAACATACACTATTGCTCATTTTTGAGATATAATCTTTCATTATAACATTATATAATTAATAAATATTTGATTAGTTGTTTACGGTATTTTTTCATAAACCAATTTTTGTAGCAGATGACTATATATAGATTGTCGATTACACCTGAAATTACATAATTAAAATCTATTTTTAGAACAAATCATGTGTCTGTAAGAATACCTAATTCTTATATGTTATGACATTGATTTCTTTATATTCTGATATTTTACAACACTGATGAAGACTTGCGAGAGTCGAAACATCAGTTATCGTCATTAAATAAACCTTAAAACTTAATATCCTGTGTTGATTGTTTGTTCCACTTGTACCATCTTCTATTAGTAAAACATGCTAACAAGGTGCTAATGGTTTGAACATTCTCAATAATAAGATGCTAACAAGTAATAAAAGAAGTAATTATTATAATATTGTAAACATCAAGCTGTTGAAACTAATTATCAAGTAGTTAAATATCCTGCAGTAAGTTGGCCTTTCATATATATTATAAACTAATAAATGAAATATTGATGAAATAAAATGCGCATTTTCATTTTCTGTATTTTTGCACTGAAAGAATTTATTTTTCACTGCAGTGAAACATATTTTTAGTCTTTTTACTGGTGTCTAGCCAGAATACTTTCTTCTAAATTCAGCCAATACAAAAAATTAAATGAGAAGTTTTAAGAATTGTACGGTCAAAATAGGGAAAAAGCATATAATAAATAGAAAATTCAAGTTTTTTTATAAATACAGGATTTATTTTCATCTTGTGGTATATTTCACTTTTGCCTACCGCCACTCAGGATTTTTTTTTTCATACCACTTGATGAAAATAAATCCTGTATTTATAGAAAAAACTACAATATCCTCCTTTTATTTAATTTAAATCTGTGTCTATTTTGTCTCTCGAGTATTTATTTGCATTTAAAATGATTAACATCAAACGCAGTTAACTGACATGCTTTTGATGAAAATGCTCTAGTCTTTTGGTGAAACCCACCGATATACATGTTAAAATTAGCACATGTGTTTTGTTGTTGTTGTTTTTTCAGTAGTCTGTTATCATGTTTATATCACAATTCATAAAATAAATAGAGGATATGGAATAAGTATAGGTTTAAGACTGTATTTATTGAACAAGTCAAATGAAATTGTATTCTACAAGCCCTCTGGCAACTTCAATAAATTCAGTAAAGTACCTGCACGATTATAATAATCCGTTTTATGGGAGAAATTTAAAGGGACTCCACTGAGGTTTTTAGCATGACGGGACTGGAAATAATTTATTTAGATTTTTACTCCATTTGATGTAGATCTATACTAATAACGTATGTGCAAAATTTCAAATCATTAGCTTTCTCCGTTTTTCCAGAATAATTATTATAATAGTGAAAAATGACCCAAAATTGAAAAGCGTTTAAACACTTTTCACTCAAATCGGACTGAGAATAGCACAAACATATGATTTATAATGTATTTCTTGTATATTTCTTGGTTATATTTTATTTATATTTCTGTTTTAAGTGCTCATGTTTATCTATGTGAAAAATTAAATTTTATGTTTTTATTCTTATAAACCTCAGTGGAGTTCCTTTAACAGTAAATGTTCCCAACACCAAGATTTCTAATAACTATATAAATTTTTTGCATATCCAACTTGAGTTTCTAGCATTTCCACCATTAAAGAAATATATTTTTGTTATTTTCCTCTGCCACACCCCAAACCTCGTTCAAAGCCTTGTTAACTCAATAAACAGCTACTCTTTAGCTAGATATTTCCATTTGTACCGACAGCCGGTGTAATATTTTTATAGTCCGTACCATGTTTTCTTATAATCCTCTCCCACACCCCTATACCTAGTTCAGAACCTTGTTACCACCGTAAACAGCTGCTATTGACCTAGATATTCCGGTTTGTACCGACAGCCGGTGTTGTAATATTCTTATAATACGTACCATGTTAACATTTTCCTCGAACCAAATCATTACTTCTGTCAAATACTGCTTCCTAAGAACGGCCTTCTCCTCAAACGCTTCAATACGATCTATTGCTTTATTCCTTTCCTCTATCTAAATATAGAAAGAGTCACTTAGTACAGATAATTATCATCTAAATATAGAAAATTATCATTTAGTACTGATAATTATCATCTAAACATAGAGAATCACCAATTATCATCTAAATAAAGAAAATCATCATTAAGTACAGATAATTATCATATCAATATAGAAAATTATCATTTTAGACATCAAAAAAATAATGTAAATATAGAAAATATTATAATTTGATTAGTGTAATACTCATTTAGGTATATAAAAATTATCCTTTAATATAGATAACAATTAATACAGATAATTATCATCTTAATATAGCAAATTATCATTTGATGTGTTAATACTCATACAAAGATTTGAAAATAACCTATTAATACAGGTAACAATAAAAAATACAGAAAATTATTATTCAATACAGATAATAATAATCTAAATGTAGCAAATTATCATTTAATACAGATAATTATCATCTAAATATAGAAAATTTTCATTTAATATGGATAACAATCATCTTAATATAGAAAAATTACCAATATAGAAAAATTACAATTGAAGACAACAAAAAAAAACAATACCAGGTAATCTAAATATAGAAAATTATGCTTTTTAGAAAGATAACAATCATTTGCACATAGAAAATGATTATTGAATACAAATAACAATTTTGCAATTCGAAAAAAAATATTATTCAATCATTGACATAATACGTATATAACATTATCATTCAATAAAGATACAGAATACAGAAAATTATTATCATTTAATTCATATAAAGAGTAATATTATCCTAGGGTAACTTTACACATACTATTTAATTTTATAATTATATTTTTGTTGCATTTTTATGTGATTTTATATGCATCTTGATATATGTGACAATATAATATGTGTTTATGTATATTTTTCTAAATAAATTGATACAATTCGATAGTACATGTGTAAAATATTACAGTTAATCATTGCACCTGAAGCCAAAGGAATTTTGTTATCAATATGCAAAAATTATACAAAAAGTAGTATAGAGTTTGGTCAGAAAATAATTTTGAAGGTTATTTTTAAACTTTTGAAGATTATTTAAACACTCTAAAATTTGCTTCCTCAAACAAACCAGTACCATAAATATGCGGCCATAAGTCGACCTCGCCCATAAGTCAGGGGGGTATATTATGACTAAACAAACCTTACTTTGCAGTCAAAAGTCATATGAAGAAACATGGGTGTGATCCCAGTAGCACTAAAACCCAGCATTCCTGGGTTTAAAAGAAGACACACTAACCAATAGGCTACCTAATGCATACTATTTTCCCTCCAGAGTCAGCTCTGACCTTTGCATTCAGGAAAATTATATTTGTATTTTTGTCTTACTTAATCACCTACATTTGTTTTTCAATTTTGAAACACTTTTCCAAAACAAACAAACTTGTTTATACAGTAGAAAATTCATACAAAACATGTTTACTTTGAATATATTAACACCAACAAAATTAACATCAGCTTCTGCCCATGTGGCCATTGTCACTTCCTACTCAGAGATGGTATAGCTTTATGGAACTGATAGAAAAATAGACACTGTTGTGAAACTGAACTAAATTTGTCTCAGCTGTTGATTACCTTTTTTTGCTTTGACTGGGTAAGTTTTTTTTACCTTTTTTGCTTTGCGTGGGTAAGAAATTTTTAATGAGTTTTTGCTTTGCGTGGGTAAGAAATTTTTAATGAGTTTTTGCTTTGAGTGGGTAAGAATTTTTTAATGAGTTTTTGCTTTGAGTGGGTAAGAATTTTTTAATGAGTTTTTGCTTTGAGTGGGTAAGAATTTAATGAGTTTTTGCTTTGAGTAGGTAAGAATTTTTTAATGAGTTTTTGCTTTCAGTAGGTAAGAATTTAATGAGTTTTTGCTTTGTGTGGGTAAGAATTTAATGAGTTTTTGCTTTGAGTGGGTAAGAATTATTTAATGAGTTTTTGCTTTGAGTGGGTAAGAATTTTTTAATGAGTTTTTGCTTTGCGTGGGTAAGAAATTTTTTTTAAGGTGAAAGTTTAACAAGAGGGCCATGATGGCCCTGAGGTCGCTCACCTGTATATAGCCACCCCCCCCCCCCAACGTTGCAGGGCCAATTTAACCCAAGGGCTTTTATTTGCACAATCTTGGTAGACACCCATAAGAAGATGTTTCATGCTAAACATCTAAGCTCTAGCTCAATGGGCTTTTTAAAAGAAGATTTTTTTTAAGTTTTACCATACACATATAGTTAAAAACAATGACACCCCTGGGGCCGGGCCAGTTTTGACCCCAGGGCTTTTATTTGAACAAACTTTGTAGACACTTACTAGAAGATGTTTCATGCTTAATATCTAAACTCTAGCTATTTGGGTTTTTTCAAAGAAGATTTTAAGTTTTTGCTATACACATATGAAGAAAATCAATGACCCCCGGGGCGAGGCCAATTTTGACCCCAGGTCTTTTATTTGAACAAACTTGGTAGACATTCACTAAAAGATGTTTCATGCTTAATATCTTAACTCTAGCTATTTGGGTTTTTTCAAAGAAGATTTTTTAAGTTTTTGCTATACACATATAAGGAAAATCAATGACCCCCGGGGCGGTGCCAATTTTGATCCCAGGGATTTTATTTGAACAAACTTGGTAGACACCTATTAGAACATGTTTAATGCTAAATATCTTAGCCATAGCTCTTTGAGTTCTTTAAAAGAAGATTTTTTAAAGTTTTTACTATATGCATATAGAGAAAATCAATGACCCCCCGGGGCGGGGCCAATTTTGACCCCAGGGCTTTTATTTGAACAAACTTGGTAGACACTTATTAGAAGATGTTTCATGCTAAATATCTTAGCTCTAACTCTTTTGGTTCTTTAAAAGAAGATTTTTTAAGTTTTTGCTATACACATATAAGGAAAATCAATGACCCCCTGGGGCGGGGCCAATTTTGACCCCAGGGCTTTTATTTGAACAAACTTGGTAGACACCTATTAGAACATGTTTGATGCTCAATATCTTAGCCATAGCTCTTTGAGTTCTTTAAAGAAGATTTTTTAAGTTTTTACTATATGCATATAGGGAAAATCAAAGACCCCCCGGGGCGGGGCCAATTTTAACCCCAGGGCTTTTATTTGAACAAACTTGGTAGACACCCATTAGAACATGTTTCATGCTAAATATCTTAGCTCTAGCTCTTTGGGTTCTTTAAAAGAAGATTTTTTAAGTTTTTACTATATGCATATAGGGAAAATCAATGACCCCCTGGGGCCGGGCCAATTTTGACCCAAGGGCTTTTATTTGAACAAACTTGGTAGACACTCACTAGAAGATGTTTCATGCCAAATAACTAAGCTCTACCTCTTATAGTTTTTGAAAAGAAGATATTTAAAGTTTTTTCTTTCGGTTGCCATGGCAACCAGAGTTCTGCATGGAATTAAATTCTTTGAACAATTTTTAAAGGTGACCACCAAAGGAACATTCCTGTGAAGTTTGGATGAAATTGGCTTAGTGGTTTATGAGGAGATGTCATTTAAAGTAAAAGTTTACGGACGGACGACGGACGGACGGACGGCCGGACGGACGGACGCCGGACGAAAAGCGATCACAAAAGCTCACCCTGTCACTTTGTGACAGGTGAGCTAAAAATTGTTTACCTTCTTTTTCCGCTCCGAATGGGAATCAAATCTTTTAATCGCAGGCAATCTTAACGGATCATCTTCCTCTTCACTCTCGCCATCCATACCAAAATCTTCAAGCGTCTAAACAACATGGATCAAACAATTAGCCAAAATATATTTAATTGCCTCAAAGTTTTATAAACCCTCAGGGAAGAAAAGAAAATGGATCAAACAAAATAATCACAGTGATCAGTCTTGTTTTGTTGGATGTTTTAAGTCGCACTAACACTGTAATGGTCATACAATTACTGCCACTTTCCAGCTTTACTGGTAAAATAAGTTAGCATATTATTAGCTCAAGCATGCATCTAAGTAGAAACCACCAACCTTCTGAAAGCTTACTGCTAGATGGATAGCTTCCTCACATGTAATTAAGTCACTGGTGGGATTAAAACCCACAATGGTGACAGGAAGTGATTTCAAATTGGCGGCCTTTATCTCTCTCTCCTGCTGAAACTTTACCCACTTTATTATAGCATAATTATACAATATGCTATCATTTTGTTGCTAAATTAAACAGGAGAAATTTATTAAACTTGAAGTGATAAAGCCTTGCAACCATGGAGGTGATTTGATAATGAAAAGGTCAGAGGTTATAATTAACATAAACATCATAGCTTCACACATGGATATTTCCAAGTATCAAAAATCTAAAATTCCAGACATTTCTCTAGAGGAATATTAGCGAATTGTGCAAGGGTATAATATAAAGACAGGTTGGTTGATATTAACGCTAGAGGGAATGTAAGCGATTTTCATGAAATCTGAATATATATTTCCATGTCGCTAACTTAATCATTTATAGCTCCTGTATGGATCAGCAATATTATCACCTTTATAAACAAGAGCCATGTCAACAAGGCCATCCCCAGCCGAATGTGTTTGCTCATTGGAAGAATGTATATGTAGTAGAGCAGAATAATTCCATTTTAAGAGGTCTTTTGGTAATGAAAACTGATGGCTATAGTGATTACAGATTTGAAACCTATGTGAATACTGATAGCTGAATATAACAAAGGGCAATTACTGAAAAATAATGCAGTTATTATTATTGTGTCCTGCATCCCTCCTCAGTAAAATCTATCCACCTATGAAGTTTCAAGTTGATACCTCAAATACTTCTTGAGAAAAAAATTGAATTGAAAAATTAAGTATGAAAAATAACAAAGGGCAATAACTCAAAAATTGTATAGGGAAGAGTTATCATTCTTGTGCACAGCATTCCTCCTCAATAAAATCTATCCACCTCTGACATTTCATGTAGACATCTCAAACACTTTTGAGTTATGCTCCACTCGGGTGAAAAATTAGGTATGAAAAATAACAAAGGGCAATAACTCAAAAATTATGAAAGGTAGAGTTATCATTCTTGTGCACTGCACACCTCCTGAGTGAGATCTATGCACCTATGAAGTTTCATTTTGATATCTCAAAGGCTTTTAGAGTTATGCTCTGGACAAAAATTAATTTTGAAAAATAACAAAGGGCAAAAACTCAAAAATAATGCAGGGTAGAGTTATCATTCTTGTGTGCTGCACTCCTCCTCAATGAGATCCATCCACCTATGAAGTTTCAAGTTGATACCTCAAATACTTTTTGAGATATGCTCTGGACAAAATAGCATGAAAAAGAACAAAGGGCAATAACTCAAAAATTGTATAGGGAAGAGTTATCATTCTTGCACACAACATTCCTCCTCAATAAAATCTATCCACCTATGACATTTCATGTTGATATCTCAAACACTTTTGAGTTATGCTCCACTCGGGTGAAAAATTAGGTATGAAAAATAACAAAGGGCAATAACTCAAAAATTATGAAAGGTAGAGTTATCATTCTTGTGCACTGCACACCTCCTGAGTGAGATCTATGCACCTATGAAGTTTCATTTTGATATCTCAAAGGCTTTTAGAGTTATGCTCTGGACAAAAATTAATTTTGAAAAATAACAAAGGGCAAAAACTCAAAAATAATGCAGGGTAGAGTTATCATTCTTGTGTGCTGCACTCCTCCTCAATGAGATCCATCCACCTATGAAGTTTCAAGTTGATACCTCAAATACTTTTAGAGATATGCTCCGGACAAAAATGTCGGACGGAAGGACGGACGGACGGAAGGACGGACGGACGGAAGGTCGGACGGACGGAGACTATTTCTATATCCCCTGCCGCCTTTTCGGCGGGGGATAACAAGTGATAGAAATGATCACAAAGCCAGGATTTCTGTTAATAATAATAAGTAGATACCCACAGAGAAATACTGGAGTTATTGTGCCCAAAAGATAAAAAGATCTCTATTTCTTACATATAAAAATAAACAACAACAAAGAGTTGTACATGTAATTTTGCCAGATAGGAGCAAATCACAAAACCCGCATTATATCTTCAAAGACACTTGGTTACAATACTTCTATGAAAGTTTGGTTAAAATCCTGACAGAAATGTAAGACTTGCGCACAATACAAATTGTTAACGCCCACCCATCAACATTACCTTATCTAAAATATAGTAGATAAAGAAACCCTAAAGAATGCCCAAATTGACAAAAATGTAAATGTTGCAGGCTCAGTTTGATTGAGCCTGTTCATGGATGGTACTGGAAAGTGCTAGTTACCGTCCACGCCCCCTAGCACCAGCTTAAGCATGTTCATGGTAAAATTTTGAATTTAAAAACATCCACAGATGGCCAGTTTTCTTTTAATGCCTTAAATTATAAAAAAATTGAAATTCTTAAAAATATCAATTAGTGAAATTGAAAAAATGAAAAATTCTGCAAAGGATAACAAAGAAATATAATCAATTTTTTGTGCCATTCTTAGATTGACTCGAGTAATAAGAGTTTATTTTTGGGTCATGTTTTACAATAAAATTTATTATTCTGGAAAGAACTGGATTATGGAATGAGCTAAAATTTTGCACACAAGTTATTGGACCAGACCTACATCAAAATAGTACACAAATCTCAGAATAATATTTTCTGTCCCTCCTTAGTGGAGTCCCTTTAGCAGATTTTTACCATTTTTTCCCCCCTCCTATCATTTTTAAAATGGAAATAGCAGGGCATAAAAAAATAATGCTTACACATCATAATATTATATTGACAGATGTGATGTCGAAAAACCAAATGATGTCAGCAGAGTTACTTCTACACTCAATGTTGTTCAACATATTTTAATTAAATTCTCATTTTTATTAGCATGTAAGAATTGAAATAGATATTAATTTTTCATGCATTGTAGTATGATAATGCACAGTTTATCGATAAATGCTTTTAGGCCTATGGGCTTTCATGATTATATTCCTACGCATTTTACACCAAACGGAGCGTTATTTTACAACAACAACACAATAAAAATTGCTATCCTTTTCCTTAACAACCCATTCATATTTGATATTTATTTTAAGATATTATGGTCATTTATGACGTCACCGTAGTTTTTGTTTATTACCTTGCGTACACGTTTATTTATGACCTCAAGCTTGGACTGGATACGTTCCTTATGTCGTCTATTCTGCTGGTCGTCAATTGCAGACAGAACTTCCAATGACTCAAAATCACCCTTGACATTGTTCCTAAATTTTTAATATAAACAAATATATTATAAAACCAGTCTGTGACTTCAATTTGTCGAGATTGGTGATGACGATGATTTGTAAACCAAGTTTTATACTATAATCATGTAATATTTCTATAGATAAAAAATAAGCATGCAAAATTAAAATTTTTACTTTTAATTAAAAAAAAACACAAAAAAACAAGCATCCTTTGAAACAGGTATAAATTCATTTAATTTGAATGATTTGTTACTTTATGAAATAAATATTGAATCATAGCTCAATATATTTTGAGATAACCGATAGTCAAAAATATTTAATATTACAAATATATTACGAATATAGAAAAAACAAGACTGCATTTGTGAAAAATGCTATGCCACAGCATTAATACAACACCAAATAGTAATGTAGGAACAGAATTTTTTTGTTTCTATACAAATGAAGATTGCCATAATGCATAGATCACTGACCTATGTAATTCTTATTATTAGATTAGTGGTTTAAATCTCTTGTTATTCAAATAAAAGATCTGAGTAGGAATCTATCAATGCAGTTGAGTCTAGTGAATTTGGTGGTGAAAGTCATATTTCACATGGCCAAAATTCAATGACTATATACATCAAAGGACAACACAGTAAGACACTTTGTCAAAATCTAGGCCAATTGATATCAAAGTTCACTTTACATCTTAATCTGTGCACATGATTCAAATTTCATAGCTGCACATCAAAGGACAAAAAAGCAGGTCACATCATCAAAATCTAGGTCACCTGATATCAAAGTTCAATTTTTACAAATAAAAAATGTGCACATTGTCCAAATTTCATGGCTGAACATCAAAGGACAAGAAAGTAGGTCTCTGTCCCCTTGGGCAAGGCAAAATTTTGACCCAAGGGTTTAATTCAACAATCTTGATACAGGTCCACCAAACAACATTTCATGTCAAATATCTGAGCTGTAGCTTTCTCCAATTCAGAAACCATTTGTTTAAGTTTCTGTTTTTTACTATGTGTACACAATGAAAATCAATGCCCCCAGGGCAGGGCCAATTTTGACACCAGGGGGAAAATTTGAACAACTTTGGTAGAGGACCTACGGATGATATTATAAAGCAAACATCAAAGCTCTAAGCCTTGTACCTTCAGACAAGAAGATTTTTTAATTTTTTACTATATGCACATAGTGAAAAATCAATGACCCCCCAATTTTGACCCCAGGGCTATAATTTGAACATCTTGGTAGAGGTTCACTACACAATGTTTCATGCAAAATATCTAACATCTAGCCTTTGTCAATTTCGAGAAGATGATTTTTTAAGTTTTTACTATATACATAAAGGAAAACCTATTACCCCCGGGGCGGGGCTAAATAATGACGCTAGAGGCAAAATTTGAACAAATTTGGTAGAGTACCTATAGATGATATCATATATCAAATATCAAAGCTGTAAGCCTTGTACCTTCAAACAAGAAGGTATTTTAGTTTTTACTATATGTACATAATTATAGTGAAAATCAATGACCCCCGAGGCGGGGCCAATTTTGACCCCAGGGCTATAATTTGGACAGTCTTGGTAGAGGCCTACCAGACAATGCCTTATGCAAAATATCTATGTTCTAGGCATTGTGGGTCTTCACAACAAGATTTTTCAAATTTATTCTTATAATTCCTTTTGGTTGCCATGGCAACCAGATTTCTGCATAGAATGAAATTCTTTGAACAACTTTGGAAGCCCTTCACCCAAGGATCAATCCTGCCAAGTTTGGTTGAAATTGGACTAGTGGTTTTTCACATTATGGCAAATTATAAATAATTTGACATTCTATATAATAATTTGACCTTGAAGGTCAAGGTTTACTAGTATTTGATGTCAATGCCTAAATTTCTCAACATGACTGTTCTTTATTCAAGTATGTATCAAATCTGCCTATTGATAATAAAATTATGGCCAATTTTAACAAAATTCATTCATTTTACCATAAAGTTCAACATGAAAAAAAGAATTTGGTCTACTTAAGGCACATTATGTCAGAGTATAAATAAAATGCATCCATTTATAACAAATTAACAGCCAATTATAGCCAATTTCAGCAAAATTCAATAAAAAAATTCTAGGTCAAGGTCATTTATAAGTCAAGGTCAAATTACTTACATATGCAAAAGGACACTTGAATGCAATAACTGCTGTTAGTTTTCATTAAAATTGGTTCAGCAGTTTTGGAAACAGGAGCACAGAGACAACTGAACTGAAGGACAGCCTCAAACCAGTATACCCAGCTAAAAGCTTTCATTTATTGTTGTGGGGGAGGGGGGAAGTGGGGGTATGACTGAATGAGTCATTATAAACCAGATTGGCAGAAATTTTTTAGCTTTTACTTTCCTAACAAACCCAACAGTGGGCATGTTTGTTTTCGCTATATCTAGGGGTGAATATTTTTTTATTCTGGGCTCCGCCCCATTTATTCTTTATTATCTGACTCTCCTCTGCCCCATCAAGTTTAAGTTGGTCTTTAAAGTCAACAAATGGCCATGTTTTTACTCAAATCAGCTGAAATGAAAAAGTGAATATAATTCTTTAAAGCAGCTATCCTACAAACAATGGTTTGACTTTTTTTTTAAATAACTAACAATGGTTTGACTCTTTTTTTAAAAATAACTATCATAAAAAAGTAATATTAAGCTGAAGGTTTAAAAAATCAACATGAAACTAGATGATAAATACCACATCTTGCTCCAAGAAATGCCAGCTGATTGAAAATTTGGCACTTTTCACAAGTGACATTATCATACTTGTGACTCTCCCACTTTTAGCGGGAGACTCCCACTTTCTGCAGCCATATTTTCAAAAAGATTTTCTTAAAATAAGGGGTATTTTCACAAATTAAAGAAATCTCCCCTATTTTTGATGACAGAACTTCCTTCTTTGTTTATTGCAAATTCTAAAATCTCCCTCTTTTTGAAGAAAAATCTCTCACTTGATCATCAAAAAATATCACATATATGCATTATGCCCATCCAAGTGTAAATGGTTAGTGTCAAGTAATAGTCAAAACAACTACAAAGAAATACAAGAAATTCTTCTTACAGTAAACAAACAATATCAAAGATTTATTACCCTTGCTTTATTTTACTACCCCTACCTGTTGCTTTCTTAGCGGCATCATTCTTTTGGTCTTTAATCTTTGATGAAACTTTCTTCCATCTCGCACTCCTCTCACCATCTTTGGTACGCTTTTTCTTTGATTTTGGTTTCCCACCAGAATCTTTCGCTGAACCTTTTTCTTCGTTTACAGCTTGCTCTGCGTTATTCATCCTCTTTAGACTCGACATTCTTTTTCTTTGTGGCCTTGTTTGACTTTTGTTTTGCTTTGGTATTCTTGCCCCTGTTCTTCAAAATGGACCTTCTTTTTGAATCTGCTTTATCTAACGTCATCTGACGCTTAAAAGTAAAACCTAGTAGGTTAATTCAAAATGTACATGATAAATGTCACGGTTCAGAACTGTTCACTATTTAGGGGAGAAGATTTGTAAGCGGCCAGATAGCTCTGTCGTAAGAGCCACAGAAAAGTATTCTGAGGGTCCGGGTTCAAGTCCGGGTTTGGCTCACATATACCTCATCCTGTGACATTTAGCATCCAACGCGGGACCGTGACTAAGATATATCTAAAAGTTGAATTGGCATTGCTCTGTAACCCTAAGTAATACCGGGATGAACTTCAATAATTATAGCAGGGAACTATGTCATGGTTCAGAACTGTTCACTATTTAGGGGAGATGTGAAAGTGGCCGGATAGCTTAGTTGGTAGAGCCGCAGAATGGTATTCCATGGTCCCGGGTTCAAGTCCCAATTCGGCTGCACATTTTTCTCACCCTGTGACATAAAATACTAAATTTATCCTGTTCATTGTAGTCAAAGAGAGAGAAAAATATGTTACTGTCTCCATTAAGCCACATTCAGCTTTTCTAAAGATTTAATATCTTTTTGTTTTAACATATTTATTAAAGCTTGATTGTAAAACAAGTTCTTGCAACTTATATTAATCACTTTTGAGTCTGCTTCCTGGAACCAACCAGTACTGGTGTCATGTGAAGAAACATGATCATGGCTCGATTAGGGCTCGAACCCATGATCTGGCATCTACTCTGGGTTGAGAGGCAGACACCTAAACTACTAGGCCACAGCTCCTATTAAATATTTTATCTTTAGATAAGTCGTTTCAACTTTATACTGGAATGAACTTTGTACCTAGAGTATCAAAATATTACAAATAGTAATTTCTAATTTATATAAAAATATTAGTGTCCAGTTATAAGTGCCTCTGGATGTATATATACATGATATAAATGTTACATATATACATCTATATATATTTTTATTGGTCAAAAAGTCATTCCCCATAGTTAAGTACTTAAAAATTGAATTGAACTAAAAAACAAAGGATAATTGTCAAATCAAAAGAATAATATGGTGGAAAATGAAATTTGCCGGCGATAAAATCATAAACAAAAAACTGTTACAATAAAGATACCCCTTGATAACTCTAAAATAAAACTATAATGCGATTATTAAGCATGTGCGATGTGACCTATTTTTTGTTATTACTGGATTGATAACTGATTGGATTATCTTGACTGATCAAGGTCAATTATCACTCAAATACAAAGGTGACAAATAATTAAGGGACTAACCCATTTAAAGGACACTTATTATTATATTGTTTATTTTAAAATAAATTTAAAATAGATCGGAACATGTAATTAAAACCCTTAATACCTTCTGCTGTCATTTTAAAACACTCTCACAATCAATTTCTACTGCCATCTAAAACGCGCCATATTCATTTTCAGTTTCACTTTCGCATTACGTACCACGCTCGCAACAACAATACGTGACCTTATGACCTTTGACGGCGAGTCTATTTATAGATTTATCAGACCCGACTTTGAAATGACGCTGTTCTTTCTATTCAACCTATAAAATAACGTTGTTGTAGTGAAAATATGAATTC